AAACTTTCACTACTAAGTGCGATGTTAGCTTTAGGTTTCTAATGCTGCCATACGTCAGGTTAGGGAAGCTGGTTCTGACATCAGCTCTCTGAACACCAACTCCCAGAGTTCGCATCGGTGTCCACATCTTTAGCCGTTCAGTCCTCCACAAGAAAGCCCTCACTTCAGGCATCAGCTTCAAGTCACAGGGGCCCACTGTATTTCTGACCAGCTGGCTATAACTGCAGGGGTTCCCACAATCTCCTCAGGTTGGATAATTTGCTAGAATGACTCATAGAATTCACTAAAAGTGCTGTCTATACCTATGATTCCAGTTTTGTTACAAAGAATATAACTCAGGAACAGCCAAATGGAAAGAGCGCACAGGGCAAGGTGTGGGAGGGTGCCAGGTGTGAAGTTCCCATGACCCCTCCCAGGGGAGTCAAAGGCATATCACTCTCCCGCACATCCATATGTTCGCCAACCAGGAAGCTCCACCAAGACGTGGTGTCCAGAGTTTTGATCAGAATCTCACTGCACAGACACAACTAATTAGATCATGGCCACAGGACTGAACTCAATCTCTAGCCCCTCTCCACCCCCCCAGGTCTGGCTGGCTCAGCTTCAAACTTCTAATCTTGTAGTTGGTCTTCCTGGCAACCAGCTCCCATCCTGACACTTCCTAGGGGCTCACCATGAGTCACCTCATTAGCACAAGGAAGCCTCCTACCACTCCAGGAATCTCAGTGTTTTCATAGCTCTGTGCCAGGGACTCAGGACAAGGAGCAGATACATTCATTATACAACATGTTCTAGATAACACGGATTAAATTAATACATTCTCAGTTGTTAAGCCAACCTTACATTCCCGGTAAGTCTCACTAGATTCAATTCCCAGGAATGCAGAGTTGGCTTAACAATGGAAAACACACTAATTTTATATACATACTTAGATTTAATTCCCTAAAATTTTGTGAAGGAGTTTTTTGCATCTATGCTCACATATTAGTCTATAATTTTCTTTTTCATCTCATTACCTAGTTGTGCTCTTAGGGTTAACACTGGCTTCTAAAAATTGGTTGGAAAGTACCCCTTATGTTATTACTTATTTTGGGGAAGTCTGATAGTCTCAACTATTTCTTCATTAAATATTTGCTAGGATTCATCAGTGAAGCCATCTTGGCCTTGAGTTTTAGTGAGAGGGGTTCTTACGTTTATACATAGTGTACCACTACAAGTAATCTGGAAATACTCATTTTATGTCTTTAATGGACAAAGGATTTTTCAGATGATCTATTTCTCCTTGAGGGAGGCTGGCTATTTAGTATCTTTCAATGGGTTTTTGTCCTCTGCATTTCCACTTACTGTGAAAGAGTTGTTTAAAATAATTATCCATTACGTTTCAAAGGTATTCGCGTGATACATTCTCTCCTTGCTCATATTTGTGATACGTGATTTCTCTCTTTTTTTTTTCTGATGTTGTTGGAGGTATTATCAGTTTTACTAACTTATTCAAGGTATCTGCTTTGGGATGATTCATAGATTTTTCTTTCAAATAATTAACAAAGTATATGAAACTGATTCTTAATACACAGGACATCAAGCAAATAACAGTGACCTATGAGAGAGCAAACAAGTGCTGTGAGCCAGGTGACCACCCCAGGTTTCTGTGAGAAATTTCCAGGCTCCAGCACAAGAATGGCAAGTCCAGGTAGACCCCAGAAGTCGCCTGAGCTGAGACAGAAACTTAGAATCTGGGCCTAACTCAGGTGGCTGCAGTCCAACAGAGCACAGCACAGCTGAGAGAAAACGTCGGAGACTTGAAGAGGGTCATCCTCAAGCATCCAGCTGGGCGCCCATCTGCACCCTCGGGAAGGAAATGACCAGAGGTGAGAAACACCCGAGAGGGTTAGATGAAGCAATTTCCAAGGCCACTGCAGAGGGTGCAACAGCATCTGTTCCAACCAGTGTCCATGGGAAGCCTCACAAAGCACGTCTAGAGAACACAGAATGACTGTCTCAGGAGGGGGAGGGAAGTCAGCCTTCAAATAAATACTCCAATGAGTCCACCTAGAAATGTTTGGAATCAAGATACCAAAAGACCATAGTGTGTCCAAGGAACTTAAACATGTAACAGGAAAAAAAATCAGGAATATCTATAGAAATGCAAATGTTTTCAGTACCCAAAAAGGCAAAACTGAGTGTCCACACAAAATGACACTATGTTAACAGCATCAGACAATGTAAATTTCAGAGCAAAGAATATTACTATAAAGAGGATCACTTCTTAATGATAAAGAGCTCTACTCATTAATTGGACATAACAGAAGGAAATGTTTATTCACCAAATAAAAAGACTTCAAAATACATGAAGCAAAACCTGACAGAACCAGAGAAATAGGCAAATCCACTTATACAGAGACGTCAACAAACCTCTTCAAGTAACTGATAGAACACGGCTCCCACATCAGTAAGGGCACAGGAAAGCGCAGACATTATCAGCCATCTCACCCAAGCTGACATTTGAGGACTCTCCACCAAACAAGAAAACAATATACGTTTATTTTGACTTAACATGAAACACAGGACAGACCATATTCTGGGCCATAATGCGAACATCAATAAATGTAAATAATTCAAGTCATAAAGTATATACTCTGACTGCAATGAATTAAGTTAGAAATCAATTACAGGAAAGACAGGAAAATACCAAGTATTTGAAATAACTTCTAAAAAGAACCACGTGTCAAAGGAGAAATTTAAAAGGAAACTGGAAAAGGTTTCAAATCTAATTAAAATGAAAATACAACATACCAAGTGTTGTGGGAGGCAACTAACAGTTCCTACAGGGTGATTTTTAGTATTTAGCACCGACATTAGCGGAAAAAGACCCAAAGGTATCCAATGAAGGATCTCAGCTTCTATGTTAACAAGTAGCAGAAGACAAATGAAATACAATAAAAGCAAAAGGCAATGGTAAAAGTCAAAAAGAAAAAAATAAGGGAAGAATCAGTGAAATCAAGTGCTTTATGAAGATCAATAAAACTGATAAACTTCTGATCAAGAAAAAAAGAGAAATATAGACATTACCAGTATCAGGAATAAGACAGGTGGCATCACTGAAGGCTCTACACGTACTAATAAATAATAAGAGAATAGCTTGAAAATTTTGACTACTAAATAATACAAACTCCTTGAGAAAGAGACAAACCACCAAAGCTCACTGTAGGAAAAAACAGAAAGATACTTTGTACAAACCTATGTCCACCATGGAAATTAAATAAACATTTAGAAACCTTTCCACAAAGTAGACTCCAGGCCCAGATTCTTCAAGTGAATTCTATCAAACAATTAAGGAAGAAAGAATGCCAATTCTTCACAAACTCTTCAAGAAAATTGAAGAGCAGGGAATACTTGACCAACATGTTCTGTAAAGCCAGCATCACACTGCTAGCAACCAAAACTAAGCATCCAAAAAAAAAAAAAAAAAAAAGAGGCTAACATCCCTCATGAGTATGGATGCAAAATCTTAAAAAACAAAACAAAACAAAAAACCCCCAAAACCCAGCATACTAAATTCAACGATACATGAAAAGAGTCATACATCATGACCAGACGGGCTTTACCTCAGAAACACAAAGCTGGTTTACCTTTTGAAATCAGTTGATATACTTCCTCATTAAAAGACTAAAAAGGTTAAAAAAAAAAACAACTATGATTATGGTCACCAGTATCCAAGAAACCCTCCCACGAATCCCACCTGGAACCAAGATTAGTCTGTCACCCACAGAGTGAGTCAGGAACGACGGCGCATCACTTCCAGGTTGAGGCTGTAACAGACCCTGCGGCTTCATTCTCGGGAGTCCTCTCTGGGGCCACTTCCTTTGGAACTATTTCTCTAAAGTGGAGTACTCTAAGCAAATGTATAGACGGAGAAGAATGAACTACTGACACACAGAACGTTGATAAGCTACATAATAATTATGCAGGGTTGTCAAAGCCACATACGTACTAGCACATTTTAAATTATCCCCCCGCCACACACACACATCAAACTCTAGGAACTGCAAACAAGCCTATGGTGACAGAAAGCAAGATGAGTGGTTGATTGGGAATGGGTGATAGGGAGAGTTATTGTAAAAGGAATCAGGAACCTTGGTTTCAAAGGCGCAAACATGTACTGAAACTTACCAAATTATACACTATAAATATGTGCAATTAATTGCAGAAAATGTTTAGATTGCTTAGACGGTCAGCAGCCATAAGATTAGGAGACACAACTATGGGAGTCCTGAGAATTTCCGTAAACCCTCACACCAAAGTGATGGAAACATTTGCAGAGACACCTTTAGAAGAGTGACAGTCCCTATAGCTGGCTGTAGTCTCCAACTTCCTATTAATCAGTGTCTGTATCAGTTATGACTCCTACCTGGCCCTCTTAGGGGACAGTGACATCTGCCCACCAAATGACAGATCAGGGATGCTGGCAGGTCCCAGGGAACCAAGCTCCCCTCAAGAGGGCTGAGGAATATGACACACCCGTGGGAACAAGGGGCCCAAGTCACGCTGCTCCCAGACACACCAGAGGCTGTCACAGCACACGCCCACTGCTCAGGGTGCCCTTGGTCCTACAAATCCTCACCACACAGGCCACGTGATGAGGACCCCAAGGACTGGTATTCTGTCCTAGGAGGCCTTGAGCAGCAGAGCAAACTAGGCTGAAACCAGAATGAGAGCTGTTCTTTCTCTGCCATTCTACCACCACGGCAACATGACAGCTGGAGCTCTCACACAAGCTGCTCACTCCCTCACTGGGCTCTGCCAGCCGAACTCTGTTCTCCACTCAACCCACAAAGTGAACACAACCCCCAGGATTAAAGGTAGCTTAAAAACTAAGGCATTTGTTGCAAAACCAGAACAGCAAGAGGCAGGCAATCCCCAAGTTACATGACTTGGAGGCTGGACAAATCCATCAGGAGGGCTACAGGAGACTGACAAAGCCTGAAAAACGGACATCTCTGTAAGCAGCCTGCAGAACAAAGATTGTATTCTTCTGGCCGAAACTGGATCACCTCCAAGCTTAAACCACCTGGGGGCGCGGGGAAGCAGAAAGGAGTGAGGACTTCAATGGGCTCAGGCTACCGGTGATTCCCTCCAGGGAAGGGAGCAGCAGCAGAGAGCCTGCCCCTTGAAGCACGCGGGGGTGACTTCTGCGCAAGCTGGGACCCTGCTGTTGCATAGATGGATGGCTTCTTCCAGAGACACTGGCAGCGATACACTTCTGGCAAGTGTGCAGAAGCCGTTCAAGTGGACAAAGGCATGTTACAAAGTTCAACACTGCCCCAGGAAGTGCCCCATGTAGCTGGCGCACAGAAGAACCTCCTCAGGGTGGGAGTTCACACACACAAGGCTCAGATCCCGGCCGACGGCGACTCACAAAGGCTGCTCTCAGAGCTTCTCCCCGGTGTCCCCCACTGTGCTGGACAGGACAGCGTATTCTCCGCCATCCTAAGGCCTTTCTCCAGCGTGAACTTTCCAGTGTCTGATGAGGGAAGCCCTTTGCCTGAAGGCCTTCCCACACTCACTGCACTGATACGGCCTTTCTCCAGTGTGGATTCTATGGTGCTGAACAAGCACATGTTTGTGGCTAAAGGCTTTTCCACACTCGCTGCACACATACGGCTTTTCACCATTGTGAACTCTCTGGTGTGCAATAAGGTCGGAGCTTTGGCTGAAGAACTTCCCACACGCAATGCACTCGTAGGGCCTTGCCCCGGTATGAACACCCCAGTGTTTAATGAGTCTGTATTTGTGACCAAAGTACTTCCCACATTCGCTGCACTCGTAAGGCCTTTCTCCCGTGTGGATGCTCTCATGCTGGACAAGCGTGGATTTGTGGCTGTAGGCTTTCCCACACTCACTGCATTTGTATGGCCTGGCTCCAGTATGGACTCTCTGGTGTACAATGAGGTTAGAGCTGTGATTAAAAACCTTCCCACATATCCCACACGCATAAGGCATCTCTCCAGTGTGGATTCTCTGGTGCTGAGCAAGTATGGGTTTGCGGCTGAAGGTTTTCCCACATTCGCTGCACTCATATGGCCTTTCTCCAGTGTGGACTCTCTGGTGCTGAACAAGTGAGTCTTTACGACTGAAGGCTTTCCCACATTCACTGCACTCATAATGCCTATGTCCACTGTGAAAGGTCTCTGTACACGTGGTGTTACTTTGTGGCTTCCACTTACCCAGAGGGGTGCGGTGCTGGAAAATGCCTGAGCTGGCTGGGAAGTCCTTACAACCCTCCCCCGTGGGAAAGGGTACCTCCAGTGATTGGACGGGGCAGCTGTTCACAAGGCAGGCCCTGCCCTCGTCCCGTCTGCAGGGCTTCTCTCCACTGTGCGGCTTCTGGTGGTGAAGGTTTGTGCTGAGCCACAGCTGTCTCCCACATGCCACACACACGTGTAGTTTTTGCTCACGGTGTGTTTCCTGGTGCTCAGCCAAGTGCAAAACATCTCTCAGGATCGGGCCACATGTCTCACAGGGGTGAGCCTTCTCGGAAGACAGAACTGTCCTAGGAACCGTGATCTGTGACACTCCTTTTACAGAAACGCTCTGCTCAAAAGCTATTTCCTCCTCCTCCATCCCACGCCGACAGCCTGAAAGCAGACAAGTGCTGGTGAAGTGCACACTGACACTGGTGGGAAGGGGCAGTCTCATTCTAAATGTGTGTCTAACAGAACTAAGACCAAGGTCACGAGACTGCCCACAGGACAAGAGGCCCAAGTTCAAGCTGAGTAAAGGGCTGCTATGCAGTAGTTGGCATCTAAAGGTCACAGAACGGAAATGGCTTTGAGGGGGAGAGGACACAGACATGGGGAACAGCCCAGGAAGAGCTGGGGTCTCCAATGAAGTCATCTGCAAATGGATTTCAGCAAGGCCCAGTCGGCTGGGGACAGGTGAGCACTGTGCAGAAGGCTGTGTCCCCTGAACAGCTACAACCAAACAGAACAGTTGGTGTTGAAGTATTACCTAAAGTATCTCACGACACGTTAAGCATAAGCCAATGTTGGAAAGCAGTGCAGAAGCAGCAGTGGAGAGGAACAGCTGAGATGTGGCGGCAGAGGTGGGCAACGGCCAAAGGTCAAAGGTCTGAGTGTAACAGTCAACTGACAAGTGTGTAAATGGAAAAGCAGACAGGAATGAAGTGTACTCGGTGGCCTTGCCACATCAATGACCGTGGGCGAAGAGCAGCTGGAGGAATGACTAGAGCCCAGCCCGACATCACATCTTTCCCCAGCTCCCACTCACCAGGGCCACACCCTCCCTGAGCCTCTCTGGTCACGGCCGGAGTCACGTCCGCCCAGTCAGATCCCCAGGGCTCACTGCCCAGCTCCCGTGGAGCAACCCCATGGGGCATGGAAGACACATATCCTAAAGGAAAGACAGGACAGGTAAATGGCCAGCACTGCTCTCGGTGAGCCACCCCTCAGAGAAGAAAACTAAGTATTATCAAAATAGCTCTGCAGTAGTGTCTAGCAGGGAGAGCCTAGTGATCCCAGCAGGTAGTGCCCATCCCAGTCCATGCAATTCCTGACACAGGCTGGTGGCCAAAACTATCAGCTGGAGGAAAGGGGCAGAACCTGGGGGACAGGAGTGCCATGGATCAGGACAGAGGCACCCAGTCAGGCAGAGGACCAGCTGGCTACGACCCACCGGGCGACTACGGGACACCTCGCTCCTGCATCCATCCATGCAAGCCTTCAGGGCAGCAGCTGTTGGGGCTGCTCAGAAGCTGGAGGTGGTAGTGCATGCAGCTCACACCTGGCATCCAGAGTGCCCACCTCAGGGAGCTGCGGACGGAGGGAACGACTGTGACTCTGACACAAGAAGGGCCAAGCTGCCTCTGGGAAACAGGGAAGGGGGACAGCCCAGTCCAGGATGCCACTGGGGACGTGAGGGCCTTACCCAGTGATACCATAAGTGCAAAGTTCTCCAGCATCACCTCGCGGTACAGGAGCCTCTGAGCCTCATCAAGGAGTCCCCACTCCTCCTGGGAGAAGTACACGAACACGTCCTCAAAGTTGACTTTCCCCTGCCACAGTGGGGAGAGCCGAGTCTGTGAACAGCCTCTCTCCCAAGGACCCCATCATACTCCCCCAAAGATCCCTCCAGCATTCCTTCTTACCCAACTCCTCAACTCAGAGCAACTATCAGGGCTGGGTGCCACAGGGGTCTGCTCTCTCTGCAAGGCCCCTCTGATCACTGTGTCCACCCACAGCAACAACAGGCCAGGGCAGAAAGGCACCATCTAAGCTCTGGGGCTGGCATGCAGGGCCATACCCCCACCCTCTCCTTCCAGCCAGTTCTCCTGGAGGTGCTAGGCTCTTGCTGACCAGACAACCAAAGCTGGGCTCATCTTTCTTCCTTAAGCCCCCAACACCAGGACCCAAGGACCATCAACCCATTCTCCTTTCCACAGGTACACCATGTTTCTGGATCCCTCTCTGTCTCCCAGTTCTGGCCTCCTACCCAGTCGCTGGTGTCCATCATCACCTTCCTGGTTCATTAACGGCACTGCCACTGTGATGTGCAGATTCTCCCTCATAAACCGATGTACACCCAATCTTCTAGTTTTTGGATGTCTCCATCCTGAACCTTCCACAGAACTTCAGCCCTGTGTCCAGCAGTTCACTTGATCCCTCCATTCAGTGTTTTCTGGAACATCGGACTCTTCACATGGCCACAAATAAACTCTAGGTATCCACACAGAATTACTTCCAAACTTGATGCTGGAGTTTCTATCCTTCCGGCTGATAAGGCCTAAAACCTTGAGGCCATCTCTCACTCTCACATCAGAAAATCTGACTCAATCACTTCTCCCATCTACAGAGCCACCCCTCTGGCCCATCCCTTACCATTCACCTGGAATACTGAATCAGCCTTCTCTCCAGTCCCCTTGTCTCTACTCCAATTCCCTCAGCCCTCATCACATACAGTCTGTTCTCCACTGGGCACCCAGAGGGAGGCTGCTAAAACCTGGATCAGATTACCTCACTCCTCTGCCCCACACCCATCACAGCTACACTGCCCTCAGAAGAGAGGCCCGCCTTGTAAGCCGGCCATCTCAGACCTGACCTCCTGACCACCTGCTCCTGATTGCTACCAGACATGGTGGAGGCCTGGAGTTTCTTTTTTTATTTTTTTGGGGTAGTCATTAGGCCTATTTATTATTATTATTTTTTTTTATTGGAGGTACTGGGCTTGAACCCAGGACCTCGTGCATGCTTAGCATGCGCTCTACCATTTGAGGTATACTCTCCTCCCGGAGACCTGGAGTTTCCTGAAAACTCCCGACTCAATCTCACCTTCAAATCTTTGCACATTCTGATTCCTGTGCCTGGAACAAACCTTATTCCAAGGGTTTCCAGAAATGGGAACCTTTCCATTTAGCCCTGGTCTGACCTCAGAACCCTGGGCTTGGGGTTTCTCCAGGGGCCTCAGACTCCAGAGCCAGGAGAGAGTACAAGTAAAGTGTTCTGTGACACCAGTCCTGGAGACCTCGTGGGTGGGGGTGGGGACGAACTGATGAGAACAAGGACAACCTCCCCTCACCTGAACAGGGCCCACAATTGCATCTGAGATCACGGGAACCTGTGGAAAGAAGAAAACTGTGAGAGACAAGCAACCGCGAAAAGAGCCCCACGGGCTGAAGCCTGTCCCCTCCTCCTGCCCCGCCACAAGGACCTGGGGCTGGCTGACTACCCTCTGTGGCCCAGGCCTCAGGGCCAGGTGACCGCTGCATTGCCTCAGACTACACCTCAACTTTCTGGGCCCCACTGTCCTCGTCGTCTCCCCCGACCCCACCCTGCACCCCAAGTCTGTTCACACCTGGGCGGTCTACGGAATACTTTTTCAACCATCAGCTCGTGTGTCTCCTCTGTTCAGAGCCTTCCGTGGCTCCCATCACCTTGAGAACTGAAGGCACCGCTGCTCCGATTCTCCGATCTCTTCAGAGGCTGTGTCGCGCCTCTAAGCCTCCGCACACGCGGCCCCTCCCCTGTCACATCCTTCTACGTCCCACCGCGCTGGCCGTCAGACACGGGACCCGACCGAGAGCGCCCCCCATTGCCCGGACGCATGGGCCTGAGCTGCGGGCAACCGAGGCGCCCCTCGCCCGAGGCCGGGGG